TTTGAAAATAACACAAAAATACTAAGAAAGGGACGTAACAAAACTGGCAAAAAAAAGAAAGAAAAATAACTTCATAGACAAATAAGTTCCCAACCTCGGCTGAAAGCTGAAGCTAAATTTTTTTTCTTTCAAGATTTTGGCATGTTTACGCTATCGTTGTCTTCTCGCACCACAGACGGCGCTACACGGTGCCGTTAAGTTAGGCTCCAAAGAGGATTGTCTTTCAGCCCGAAGTATACGCAACAAAACAGCAAACAATGCGACGCTATTTATGTTGTGCATGTGCGTGAGTTTGTATCTGTGTGTGAGCGTTTCACCGAGAGCTAGGCTGCTTGCGCGAGCGCTGAGGCTTTCAGAGAGGCTCCGTCGGCGCCGCAAAGTTTTGCCAAAGTAATTGTAATTCTGCCTGAAATTTTGCAATTACTGACTGACGCTAGAAAGTAATTAAATTACAATTACAATTTATTTTAGCCAAAAAGTAATTAATTACAAATTACCAAGAAAAGTAATTAAATTAGAGTAATTGAATTACTACCCAAGTATGTCGTGGAGCGGCCGCCAATGGCTTTCTAAGAGCCGCTTTGCTCAGCCAAGGGGAGAATGGGCATTTCTTTCGTGTTTTTTCGCGATTACAGGCGCCGCCGGCTCTCATTAATACACACCTTAGTTCGGAAGTTATAAATAGGAAGTGCCAGATCTACGTATGAATACAGAGGTACGTAAACTACCTCAAAATATGTGACGAAAAAAAAAAAGAATTCAGTCGTTTACAAATTTATGTAATGCGAAATTAGAGCGCAGCTCTTGGGGTATTTTGATTTTGCAGTATAAGGTGCTAAAGAATTTGAAGAAGAAATATCTATATGTACAATGCACCCTAAACTTAACACCGCCACTGGGTTCCCGAACATTGAGCTCGTGTCGGCTACTTACTGTTAAATTTGTCACCAAAACGTTCAAGATGCATTCTCAGGATTGATTGATTGATTGATTGGATTGATTTATTGTTCCTGTGTATCCCAAGTCGGGAAGCGCTAAAAAAAAACTCGGGGGTCGGATTCTAAGCGCTACACCACCTGCGACTGGATTGTTATTCTTCAACCAGTTAATTAAGTCGGCCGAGGTGAGGTAAAGTCATGAAGCGTCATATTGCCTGAGGCTCTGCGGCACGGGATTCGGACGTCAGCCAGTTGGAAACAAATTAGCAAAAGTATTCCTTTTAGTACTTCATCGTTAGAAGTTGGAACCGCATTCCTGTAAGATAAATCTTGATTTGATAGAACTGCAACGCCGTCTGATCCGAAACCTTGCCGGCCAGCAGCTCTCACACGAGCGGTAGATCTGCTCAGCGTACTTTAACTATGCTCCTGCTTCTCGCTTCGTTTACGATATCGATATTGAGTTGCACAATAGGATAAACTCGAAATTTGTTGCCCTGTTCCTCCGCGCATCTGCACGTCCGTTGCTTACGTCACGTGGTTCGCACATATAATTACTATGTCGAGCAAGTGTGGGTTGTGCGATAACCAGTGCTGGTTTGCATTTTGAGCAGCTGAAAGCCACTCAGAAAATATCAAGGACACTATCTTCAGAAACATGGCACTTGCGTTTTTGTTCTTATTAGGTATCACAGAGTTTCAGGTTTTCGCATCAATGACACTGTTATCCCATCTACCTAGGTCCCTAACCACTCATGTTTATCTGTGCTGCTGAGCACAAGTGAAACTGCTCCCGTGCTTGTCCACGAAACAGGCTGAAGTGCAATGAAAACTGACCTGAGCTGCTCCTAGCCTGCTGCAGAATGTAGCTTTAGCTGCTCCCAACCTGCTCCAAAACAGCTGTTTCAGCTGCTCCCGTGGCTGCTCCCAAGTACATTTCATGCGTTCCACCCCTGATTTATATAAGGAGGTGGAGGGGAGGGTACGGAGGACCCTCTTCCCTGTGCCTCCTCCTCAATCCTTTCCCCTCCTCCCACTGTTTCCCCGCTAAATTTAGCTGGCAAATTGACACCACGTGACCTCAGCACCAATTCAGTTTCCCCGATAAATTTAGCTGGGAAAATGACGTCACATGACTTCGTGTCACGTCACCTGTGAACAAATTCAGTTTCTCTGCTAGATTTAGCGGAAAAATTGATGTCACGTGACCTCAACACCAATTCCCCGCGAAATATGGCGGGGAAACTGAATTAGTATTAAGGTCATGTGACGTCAGTTTTACCGTTGAATTTAGCGGGGAAACCGAATGCGCAGTGTTGCATTATGGGAATTCACAGACCTACACACCAATTCAGTTTCTTCGCTAAATTTAGCGGGGAATTGAATTGAAGTATAGGTCTGTGACGTCCCATAATGCAACGCGCGCAATTACGCCGACGGCGACGCCGCGAAACGCGGGAACCAGCGTCTAAAAGCTGGGCTCTAAAAAGTCAGCTCATTTTTATTTTCGGTGACCAGCTCTCCGGCCACCACCAGAGAAGAGGGGGAGGAGGAAACTTTTTCTCACCAAGACACTCTTTTGTGTGTCCCAGACTCTCCCAGACGTCGCTATTCTCACTCTAGAAAATTATAGACGATTAGCCCGTTACTCAAAATTCGTACAAAAAGCAGCTTTCCCCTCTCTCTTCCAAGGAGGTGCAAAATAAATGATGGGATGTCAGTGCAAGGCATGTGTAGACCAAATAATTCCGCCATTTTTACGCCTTTTTGTTGTTCCTGGTGTCGGGTCTCAAACACGCTGGCTGCATCTGGCCCGTAACTCACTGGGACGCAGCCTGCAGGCAACTGAGTACAAACCCCTGTTCCCATGTCTCGAGCGCTAAAAATAGCATCCACCATAAAGATCTCATGTCACCTGTTTCGCTCGAAACGAAACGTAGCTCCGCTCTTATAACTTGTTACACATAGTTTAAACTGTTCTATTTTTATTTGCCTTGTTTGTCGTTTTAGTTTTTGTTTTCGCGTCCCAGCTTTTTGTAATGTTTATCACCTGTATGCCGGTATTTTTGCAAGTAGTCTTACTTGCAAAAGTCCCGGCATGCAACACTGCAACCTTTTCCTCTAGAGTTAGCATAGAGATCATACATAGTAACTCTAGAGGAAAAGGTCCGCCATTTTCCCATACATTCTGGCTGCCGCAAGCGGCGGATCATGCAGGCAGACCCTCGGGGTCCCAAACACGGTTACATCATCAGAGCAGTTTCGTGAACTTCAACAATCCACGAACTTACTGGTGGAAAGATATTCGCGTTCCTTTCGAAGCTTTCTTTTTGCATAGCGCGCAGATGTACGGCCTCGCATTAACGCTAAACTAAACCATATACCTGATATACCCGGCTTCGCCGGTGGGCCGGTGGGCGCGGTTGAGGAATACGAAACTGCGCAACCACCAGATTTCCGAGATTTTGACAGAAGGGAAGTTAATGCAGCGTAATGACTTTATTGCTTTTTATAAGCGTTAGAATAGCTCAGAATTTAGTTTACAACGTTAAATTATCACTGTTTATATTGCTGAGAGTTTTCACTCTTCGCGTTTACCATGGCAACGTTGCTTTCTTTCTCTCGTGTTCTGTCGCTCTCTTTTGCGATCGTTCACTCGGGACCCCGGGTGTCGGCGCACGGGATTTGCCACTCCTCCTCACCCGCCTGTACCTTCCTGAGAGAGGTGGTGTTGCTCTAGTACGAGGAGAGACAGTTGCTCTAGCCGATACTAGGTGGCGCGAGTCACCACTCACTCGAAAAAGAACAACCGTCGTTCATTCATCTACCCTCTGAGAGGCGCGCGCCTAGTGATCCATTCGTTTGTCAGATATGGTGCTTTCGCGCCTCCCCCAGCCTCCCCGTAAACGCAACCTGGGCGACCTGGGCGCCTGTACTCTACGAGCTCTGCCACGTGCGTTTGTGGCTGTGGGTTGCGCTTTCTATATTGTTATTTTCCTAAAGTGGAGGTATGTGAAAGTGACTATGTCGCTGTCGAGAAAGTGCTCCTTCAATCTCAACTGGACAAACCCGGGCATATGCACGAATGCGAGTTGGATTCGGCCCATTCCAAATGATCCAAATAGTGCTCACTGCGCAATGTGCTGCAAGAAGTTCTCCCTGAGCAACATGGGGAATAGGGCGATTGCTACTCATCTTGAGGGTAAGAAACATCAGACTGCTATGAAATATCTGCAAAGCGTTTCCCAGAGCCCAGTCGTATTTTTCAAAACTGCGACAAATGCGGACTTACCTTCCGCAACAGCAACGGGTGTTTTTTGTCCGGTGGTAACAATAGTGCTTGTAGGGCTCCGGCAATGCGTCTAACCACCGCCACGGAAGCTCTTAGCCCCTCTGTGAAGACGTGGGTGGTGGCTTTTTATTGAAGAAGGAAGTTAACAAAGACCGGGGGATCATGTGGTGCCTGATCACTATAACAACTCATGGGTCTTTCCGTTCAGCGGCAGCGTCTGCCTCGCTGTTTCCGTTGATGTTCCCCACGTGCGAGACCGCCAGAAAAATTCAGCTTGGAAAAGACAAAGTGGGATATACAATATGTCGTGGTATCGCCCCCTACTTTCAAGACAAGTTACTAGCAAGCCTCTCTAATGTGCCATATCTGGTGGTTGCTTTTGATGAGTCACTGAACAAAGTAACTCGGAGAACAAATTGATGTACTGATCAGGTGCTGGGACCAAACTCCCTGAAACAGTAAACCCGGGTCAATGCTGTATTCTAAACATCTTCTAAAGTTTGCTTTATGTAACTTAAAGAAAATATTTTACGTTGTGAATAGTGTCTATCTATCATATATTGTTTTGGTGTCGGTAGTTGTGGGTCAGGGAATTCAATTAAAATAGTCAGGGAAAACCTGGAAAAGTCAGGGAATTTGAAAAAAACTATTTGGTAGACACCCTGAGTATGTATTTTTACATTTCTTTCAATAAATTAAAAACCGTTTCGTATCCACTCAAATTGACGGCCGCGATTCGCGTTTGTTTCCTGCAGGAGCTTTGGGCCGTAATATATGAAAACAAACTGGTTTATTTTCAGCCGGAGCGACAGCTGTTGCAAGGACATCCCTCGATGGATCGTTTTTTACCTATGCACCAATCACGACGTTTGGTTTGCCGTATCGCGAGCAATCAGTTCTTTCGCTTTCGCGACACTAGGCCTTTCCTTGTTCGCACCCTCGCCGTCATCAGTGCCTAGGTACTCCAGGAACTCTCTGAGCTCCCTCATGGCGTCGTTCGAGAGCGATTCCACCGACCGCGGTGGCCTCTCCGCGGTCACCACGATGTGCGGGTTGTCTTCGAAGTAGTCCATCTCGGCCAACTCTTCAGCGCTGTCGTTCGGGTCTGCCGTGGTGTAGGTCGAGTCATCTGCCGTCTCCGTTTCTGAGGTCTCTGTCCCCCGGCGGCGGGACCAATGTCGCCTGAGATCCTCTTCCGAGATGCTGGAGTAGTAGCTCTCGTTCTCGTCTTGAGCGTCAGGAATATCCGGGACGGGCCGCGGTCTGTTAAAGAACACTGTCCTCGGAGACGGGACAGGAGACGGCGAAGACCTCTGGACCTCCGTATAGATGTGGAGAGAGAAGTCATCGACGGAGTCCTTGCTGTTTCGGGGCTGAAGATGTAAGTCTTGATGATTCGAAGCATCCTCGCCCTTTGTGCTGGAAGTGTCCGACATTGCTAAATAGGTGTCGTTGACCTCCGCGTACTGACCTGTGTCTTCTGGCCTGGTGACGGTCAGCGACGTGCACTTCGGAATTTCTTGGTACGCCGGGTTCACGTTCAGGGCGACTGTAATCCGATGCTCCTCTTCTGGATTGGGTGCAGTCTTCTCCCGGTAAGGTAGGTTCTCAGGCGCGGCAGCATCGTTGTCTGTATTTTCGCTGCCTTGTTGACGAGGCGTCGTCTGCTTCATGGTCGCCCGCGCTTGGCTTTGTCCCTGGGAGACGCTTGTTTTTGTATTAGACCGGCCTCTGAAGAGGCTCGGTAGTCTAGATTTCTTGGCCATGAATCCAAGGCTGAAGGATCGCGCGCGGCGCAGAACTCCACAAGAGGCTTTTTTAGTTGGAGTGGTCGGTTTGGCAGCATCGTCGTCGGATGATATTTGGTGGTAGATGGCGCCCTCGCTGGAGGGCCTCCGTTCGGTGTCGATGTTTCCGCTTTCTAGGGGAATGTGCTCATAGGTCAAGAGGCTCGCCGTTTTGCGACGACGATCGCCCAGCCCTGGACTCCAGCCGGTGCTGAGCTTCGAAGACATGTTGCAGTTTCGTCTGCGTTTGGATTATAAGCAAAAATGTCGACCATATTTGAAGAATTCACGGACGCCGAGAAGTTTTACGCGATGTAACCTATGCACAAATCAGCAGTGGTTGCACAAATATAACTTCTATCGATGCTTCTTACTAAAATGTCACGCTGTTTAATTGTTAAATAAAATTGGGACAAGGATAAGGAGGAGACAGGAGAAGCGCTTGTCCAGCCTTTTTCTACCCGTTTTAGTTTTTCTGAGCTTTTATATTGCATATATTCAGACAACTTTCCCATCATATTTCGCACAGTTTAGTTTACCTGTCAGAAAAATTCGTGAAAAGATATGAAATTTTTTTTAAATGTCAGCTGTTATATAGCCAGTCAACAAGAGCTCGTATGTACCCTAGGCTCTGCTTCTGTTCTTTCCTCTTTCTGCTACAAAGCTGTCCATCATCACTCCTCTGATTGGTTTGTGCGTATATAGGTAATTGGAAGCGTCATCCCTATTATTATTTCAATCATAATCATTGAATAGTGCCTTTAGGTTTGGTTGTCTTTCTTCCCCTTTTTCCTTAACCCCTGCACAGAGTAGTCGGCAAGGACAAGCGTCCAGGCATTTGGTTCAGGTCGTCTGTCCTCAATCTCGCTAATTCTGGGGGTGGTTGGTTAGTACTGGGGACGACGTACTCGTTGTTCTTGAGAGCTGCCAGCTGCGGGCTGATGTCCAGCTGGACCCCGTAGGGCCAGGACACTTCGCCGATGCCGATGGCTCCCTGCAGAGCGTGCACCCAGACTTCTCGCGTTTCCTGGTCGTCTGCACACTGAAAAGATACGATGCCACTTTAAGTATACGGCAAGTTCTCCTCCAAATCTGACAACACTCGAGCCGTGGTGCATGTGCACTGGGACTGCCCGACATTTGAACTTGCGTCGAGTTTGTAGTGGAAGTGTCCGCCATGGTGCATCGTGCTCCGCCGGTAGCAGGGCAGGGCAGTATCGCGATACAAATGTATCGCGCAAGTACCTTGGAGATACTTTCGAGTATCTGCATCTCTGTATCGAGATTCATTTGAGAAATGTATCTCAGTAGCGAAATACTTTTGCGACGTATCGATTGTATCGAGATACTTTTCGAGGCTCAGGTACTTCGATACATTTGTTGTCAAAAATTGACTGGCGCAAGGGGTTCGAAAATTTGTGATATGAAACCGCCATATAACAACCTCTAGAGGATGGAGAGATAGAGAGAGAGAGAGATTGCTTTGCATATTGTACAAAGTCACCAAAATTGAGAGAAAAAAAAATATAGTTCGCTAAATGAGTTAAGTCAGTCATTTTTCCCAGGATCCTCATTTCCTGTAGATTCCGTGGGTGCAGCTTTCTTGTTCAACCATTTTCTCTCTTTGGCCCTCCCCCCCTTCCCTTTGGGTTACACAGAAGCACTTATGACGACAGTTTGCCACGCATCCTTCCCCCCAGATTTCAAGTTACCGGTAAAACTGAAAATAATAATGCTCCAAACAGGCAATAAGCGAAACAGGGCTCATTTCGAATAGACCACGTTCACGTCATCGACGACTTCGAAGGCGGTGGTTCCTCCTCTTTAGCAAGATCAGGACAGATCCAAGTGAGGACGGAGGTCTTTTGCTACCCTTGCGACCCCCAGAAAAGACATCTCAATGCTGCAGGACTTTCTTTTCATCAAGGCAGCATTTATTTGTTTCGGTGGTGGTACGGGCTCTTTCGCTAGTCTGGTGCTGCGATCGAATCGTTGGTGCCTTTAAAACGCAACTCATGCAGAAGTGTAACTAGTTCACTTTCAAAGCTGAAAATGCATTTTCGGATCAAATGTACATGTGTATTGCTTGAGATTTTGAATGCCCCTATTTTGTGCCATATTTGATACTTGCGATACAAATAACGTTGAGGGATGTAATAATAATATAATGCCTTTATTTTTTTCATCACATGATGAAGGGTAGGCCGGGGAAAAAAGCTGTGAAAACAGCTTGACGAGTCCCCGACCTCCTACAGTGGCAGAAACATAACAGCTCAAACAAACAAACAAAAGCAAAGACAAAAGAAATAGCTGTTACAAAAAGAGCCCCGGCATGACAGATTGTCACAGAAACCGTTACACTGTGCGGTTATTGTACATTGTAATTTCGAAGCTCATTCATAGAAAGCGAGTCCAGTGGAAAGTCACGACTAATAAAACTGTTAAGTAAATGTGGTAAAGTGTATTTTAACATTTGCAGGCCATAGTTAGTTCTATGAGGTACCATCCTCCAATATTCAGCGTGCCGTGTAGGATAGGTTACAACATTTCTAGTTAACCTCGCGAGAGTCGTCAGGAATTGTGAGTTTCGTTTTTGATCTCTTTTAAAACCAGCGGTCAACCTGTAACTGTACAAGTTATGTATGGTTATGACAGAGCATTTTTTGAACAAACCAGCAGTATGAAAGTCATGTGGGGCGTTGCAGATAATTCTAACCATTTTCTTTTGAAGCAGGAATATCTTTTCTAGGTTTCCAGCTGTGGTCGTGCCCCAGATAAGGTGGCAATAGCTGAGATAAGAGAAAAAAGAGAGTTGTAAATAATCAGTTTGGCGGAAGTTGGTAAGATAGAGTGGTTGCGGTTTGCTAATCCAACAATGCTAGATAATTTAGATATTACATATTGTACATGGTTATCCCATGACATGCTCTCAGAAAAGATGACTCCAAGTGTCTTAAAGCTATTAACGATTTCAATGGGCATTGTGTTTAAGATGAGGCTATTAGCGCATGATAAAACCTTACTTTTCGGACGAAAAAGAATGGCTTTCGTTTTATTTGTGTTTATTTGCAATGAATTTGCCTGTGCCCAATACTCCAGTTTTGATAACGTTATATTTGCATGGGCTATCAGTAAATTTGGCTCGTCAGCGGAAAAAAATATGCTAGTATCGTCCGCATAAATGACTAGTTTAACCGTTTGATCTATGTTCACTATATCGTTTACATATATATTGAATAGAAAGGGACCTAGAATGCTTCCTTGAGGGACACCTGACGTGATAGTTCTCGTTGCAGATGAATGGCCGTTTAGGTATACGTACTGTTGTCGGTGTTTAAGGTAAGAGTTCAGAAGCATTAACGGGCCGCCTCGAAAACCATAATGTTCGAGTTTCTGTAAGAGTATTTTATGATTTAGGCTATCGAAAGCTTTAGTGAAATCGATGAAAACACCAAGTACTAGTTTTCTATTTTCGAATTGTTCTAGAATATGTTCTTTTTGTGCTAGGAGGGCCGCTTCAGTTGAAAGATTTTTTCTAAAGCCAAATTGAGCCGAGTTTAATAAACCACACCTGTCAGAAAATTGGCTAAACCGGTGATGTAGCACTTTCTCAAGAACCTTTGAAAAGACTGGGAGTATCGAAATAGGGCGGTAGTTTCCTACGTCATCTTTCGCACCCTTCTTATGCAGCACTAACACTTTGGCCAATTGCATCCCTTTAGGAAAAACACTCGTAGCAATAGCAACATTAAAAATATGCGTTAGCAAGGGAGCAATAAGATCTCTAACATACTTCACCGGGCGAATCTGAATATTGTCGGCGTCAGTGGAACCACTATTTTTGAATAGCATTGTTATAGAGATTACTTCCATCGGAACAACTGGGTGTAAAAATACAGAGTTAACATTGCTTTGATCAATGTGTCTGTATGCATTAGGGTTGGTTGGAGTGTTGCCAAATTTAATAAAGAATTCATTAAACACATCTGCCAAGAGGCCTCCCGTTAATTTTTCTCCATTTAAAGTCAACTCGTCAACAGAACCTGATGAGCAATTACGATGTAGCAACATGTTTAGGTTTTTCCACATGATATCCGAATATTTCCACATGATATCCGAAGTTACATAAAAAAAAATGTATATATATATATATCTCAGTATCTGAATTTTTTCCTTAAAAGACATGGATCTCAGTATCTTAATTATCTGGGATACTTTTTTTTTTAGCACATCTGCCCAGCCCTGGTTGGTGGTCACTGAGTTTGTTTCACTTATTAAACGCAATGTCGAGATGGCGCAGGCCGCCGCCTGATTAAAAGGGTTCAGCCATCCTTTTTGATATCCGCCCAATTTACAAATGTGCACTTCACGTCTCTAGATTATGATTTGCGCATAGAACTAACTTTACAAATGCATATTAACGAATCAGACTTGTCCAAGCTTGATCAGTTTTCTCGTGGAAGTGTCTGTATAGATTTATACTAAACCCACAATCTTACTGCGTTTTTTTATAGCGAAAAAATATCTATAATTCTAAATATATTCGTGGACCTTACCAGGTGAATGATGTCAGACCGGGTGATGATCTCCATTGCGAAGGTCTTCTTGGAGTGATGAGTCGGCCGCACTGCTTGCACGAGCCCGAAGTCAATTAGCCCCTTGCAGGTACCCAGAGACTGCAAACCATCGGAAGACGCAGTAAATATGTTTTTTTACTGAACTCTAATCGGTCCGACCGGTAAAAGGCTCTAAGCTGAAGTTACGCGCGAGAAACAAGCATTGATCGGCGAACTCACGTTGTAGTCTGATTGAGACTTGAAGTAGAGCAGTGACTTGCCATCAAGCACGAACCAGTATTTCCGCCAGAACCATTTTAGACTCTGAAAGAATTAGTCGTTAATAGCATCAGTCAGAAATATCCTAAGCGCGGCGACAAACAGGTGCTTTCTATCGCAAACTCTGACCGATGATCACGCAGGGCCGGATCATCTATAAGGTTCCAAAGGGCCGAGAGCTTGTCAAGCCGTTTAGTGCGGCTTTTTTTCTCGACCTCCACCGATCTACCAATGAAAAATAAAGATATATTCAGAGGTCTCCCAACCCCGGCCCACGGGCCAAGTCTTTCCAATGAAGCTCGGCCCTCGGCCCTTTTCCAGCAGACCCGCTGCTAGCGGCGCAAAAAGAAGTGCGCGTGCAGAAACGGCGCCGTGACGCGCTCCGAATGCGCAAACTATGATATCAGAAAGAACGAGAGGAACTGCAACGTTTATTACGGGACCTCTCGCGCCTATTATTGTCATTGTCATCACTGGCATTATCATTCTTAGCCCCCTGCTTCGTGTCTGTAAGTATCTGTTATGTACTTCGGGTTCCGTATGACAATAACACTTTATTAACACAAGCGGCCGGAATGGCAGCAGCCTTCCTGGGCGCGGTTCCCGAGTCGGCTCAGTCGTTGCAGAGCGGGTCGGTCGCGCCATCTAGTGAAGGCGTACACATCACTCCTCCCTTCTTAATGAAGACTGCCTTCTTACCGAAGGTTATGTAAATCTCAGGGGCTTGCGGACAGTTCGTGTCGGTCGTCTCATACCGGGCGTCCTTGCTTCGCTCGTTGCGTAGCCTTGGTCCTTGTTAGGTGGTAGTTGTTCCCCAGGACTTGATGCCAAAGTGGTCAAGTGCGGCTTTACTTGGTCGTTGTGGCGACGCACTTGCCCTTGCGGAGTTGACACAGTAACAATAGATGTTCCACTGGTTTTTTCAACCTCACCCAACCACCATCGAGGTCCTTTACCGAAATTGCGAACTGCTACCTTGTTCCCTTTATTGTGGCGTAGCCCCTTTTTCTTTTCTTCTTCCCTATTGAAAATTCCATCAAGGTACGTAATTTGGGACACTGACTGCCAGTCAGCAGCCTTGGTGGAACGTGATGGACCATCAGACGTCATCTGATGGTCCATCAGATGACGTCTGACTGCGACTGCCAAGGGAATTTCATCAACAAGGGCAGCATTTATATAAGAGTAAAGCTATACGCACTCATAAATATCGCCAAATGCCTCAATAAAACAAAATGTTCGAGAAAAAAAAAGAAAAAAAAAGCAGAACAACCGCGGATTCGAACCCGCGACCACTTGCGTACAAATCGCACACCCTAACCGCTATGCTATGGAACCGTTTTTGAAACACGATTTCACTAATCGTTTTATACGAGATGCTTCGGCTGCAAATGCAGTTAAGCCGTCAGCATGTTATGCAAAGCACTCGTACATCACTCGTACATCACTCGCCGTACTTCAGTTCTACTCACCTGCCATGTAGAGTACTTTCGCGTCGTAGAACGATCCTTTTGTTCGCGCGTCACCGGCCCAGTAGAACTGGTACACCTTGTCGTCTTCAACTACACCGCTAAAGTCCCTTACATCGTCGGAACTCACAACAGGCTGGGTCTTGTCGGGTAGAAATTCTACTAAAACATAAGTCATTGTAGAACCCTGGCAGGATCGACAGGTTGGAGCAAGCGGGCAAACAAAACGAGTCGAGAGCGATCGTTCATGAAAGCTCGGCGAAGCGGCGAAGCCTCTATGGGCGAAGCGAAGTGTCGTTTTCGGCGCTTCGGCGGGCTTCTGATCAAGGTTGTCGGTCGGTTGCGTGTCAAATATCTAACGTCAGCGGTTTTATGGGCTCACGTCCCGAAATCGTTTTCTCGTGCATAGATTACTTTTCGTATTCATAGATTTGACGAAATAGTGGTATCCGAACGAGCTTTACGTCCTTTGACCGTACGTCTGTCTGCACGTCAAAGCTTTCTGACGTACAGTCAGAGACAATCGATGTACAGTCAGAATCGCCACCAAGACATCCTGATGGAATTTCGCGGCGGTCGACTGCCACCAGGAAACCATCAGAAAGCCGACAAGCAGAGTCTGACTGGAGTTTGACTGTCGGTCAGAGTAACTTGTTGGCCAATCAGACATGCTTGACGTACAGTCAGGCACAGTCAGCGGTCCACTAGAAAACATTGACTGCCAAACAGGGTTACATTGATGGATTTTTCCTTCGGGTTGCTCGGCCCGTTGCCTAGATTCTGTCGGCAACTGCTCCAGAATTGCCTCTTCACCCCTCCTGGGAATACAGATGTCCAGTCTTGCTTTCATTGGATAAGCCAGCATCTGTTTTGCTGGAGACGTTCCGCTCGGGCGGGGTGCTCGGCGATACATGAGCAACCATTGAGCAAGTTGGAGCTTGAGGTCTCTTCCCTCCGTTTTCTTGAGTCCCTCCTTGACCGTGCGAACAGCTCATTCTGCTAAGCCATTAGATGCTGGATGAAAAGGGGCAGTTCGGAGATGCTTGATCCCATTTCCTTGAACGAAGTCTTGGAAGGGCTGACCGGTGAATGGAGTTCTATTGTCTGTTACAATGCACCTTGGTAGTCCGAACCCTCACGTATGTTCTACGGTTTGCTCGGATGTGGCACTTGACACAATGACGACTTCAAGCCATTTTGACTTCGCATCTACCAACACCAGTAGCATCTTCCCCTCGAATGGTCCTGCATAGTCGAGATGCAGACGCTCTCAGCACTCCTTTGGTTCGGGCCAGGGTACCGGTTCTGCTTTTGGTGGCATTGGGGAGTTCTGGAGGCACTGTGAACATTGTCGTGAACAGCGCTCTGCTTCTGCGTCCATGTTCGGCCACCACACAAGAGATCTCGCCATGCCTTTCGTGACCACCATCCCCTGGTGAGTTTCATGGAGCAGGTCTAAGATGTGTTGGCGAGCAGGGGTTGGCACAACCACTCGGTTTCCCCAGTGCAGGAGATTCCGATGCACGCTTAGCTCATCGCGTCTGTTCCAAAATGGTTGTAGTGACTTGTCCGGAGGCTTTTGTGGCCATCCTTCCTCCACCCACTGTAGCACTTGGCTTAAGTCTTTGTCGCTGTTTGTGAATTGTTGCAGTTGATTGGCTGAAATCTCCAGCTTCTCCATGCTCGAGATTGAGTTGACCAGTTCCGGAGGTTCTGGAGGATCGGTGTGTGCCGTCTTCAAGGGCAGCCTGCTCATGGCATCGGCGTTTCCGTTGAGACGTCCTGGTCGGTGCTCGATGCTGTACCTGTAGGCTCCAAGAGTAAGAGCCCAGCGTTGGATGCGCTAAGCTGTCATGGCTGGAATTGCCTTGTCTTCCCGAAAAATCCCCACATGTGGCTTGTGGTCAGTGATGAGCACAAAACTTCGACACAGCAGGTAGTCTCTGAACCGTGTGACACCAAAAATAATGGCCAGTGCTTCCTTTTCCAACTGTGAGTAATTCCTCTCGGCCGGTGTCAGAGTCCGGGATGCGAATGCAATGGGCGACTCCACGCCATCCTTCCGATGCGAGAGCACAGCACCCACACCATACGGTGAGGCGTCGCATGCCAGAACAAGCTCTTTCGATGGGTCGTAGTGGGTCAAAACCCTTGCCTCCATGATGGCATTCTTGCTTTCGACAAAGGCTTTTCGTTCAGTGTCTGTCCATTGCCAGCGGGTGTTCTTGTGCAGTAGGGCATACAAGGGTGCAAGCACTGTGGACAGATTCGGAATAAACTTGCCGTAGTACGAAAGAAGTCCAATATAGGATCTCAGTTCACTGACATCCCTGGGTTCAGGTGCTTCAAGGATAGCTTCTGCGTTTTACTTTGAAGGCTTCAGCCCCTCTGCGTTGATCTCATGGCCCAGATAGCAGAGTGATTCTTTGAAGAACTCGTATTTCTCTCGCTTGAGCTTCAGTCCAGAGTCTTTGACTTTTTGGAGAACTTTCCTTAGGTTCTCTAGATGTTCTGCGTCGGTCTTTCCAGTCACCAGAACATCATCCAGGTAAACAGATGTTCCTGGAATTCCCTGCAGGGTCTCTTCCATTCTTCTTTGGAACAGTGCCGGAGCCGAGGACACGCCAAAAGCTAAACGGTTGTAAGCAAACAGTCCTCGGTGTGTGTTGATAACCAGAAGCTTGCTGGTTTCTTTATCAACGAGTACTTGGTTGTATGCATCACGGAAGTCTAGCTTCGAAAACTTGACTCCTCCTTGCAGAGAAGCAAAGATGTCTTCCCCTTTGGGCAGTGGGTACTGGGTTGTCATCACTGCAGGATTCACACCCAACTTGTAGTCCCCGCAAATTTTGACACTTTTGCCATCGGCTTTTAGCACTGGTACGATGGGGGATGCCCAATCAGAGTGGTCTATGGCCGTGATGATGCCTTCTTCTTCAAGTCGTTGGAGTTCAAGTTCCACCTTGTCCCTCAGTGCATATGATACTGAGCCGGCTCTGTAGTACCGTGGTTGGGCGTCGGGTAGAACGTCCACATGCACCGGTGGTCCTTTGAATGCACCGCAACCTGGTTTGAAGACCTCATCAAATTCCTGGAGTGTTTCCAGTAGCCCTCGGTCGTTTGCAGTTTCTCCCAGTTTAGTGGAGTTTACTTGCCATGGAAACAGGTCAAATGCTGCCATCCAGTTCCTGCCACAAAGGTTATGGCTCTTGCAAGAAACAACCAGAAGTGTCTGTTGACTTTTGGTCTCGCCGACACTTACGTTTACAGTCAAAGTTCCTTGCAGAGGAATGGGTCCACGGATGCATTTGAGCTTGATGTCTGTTTCAGCTGGTCTAGGCAGACTTCTTTGATGGCTCAGGTATGTATCCTCGGAGATCAGCGAGACGGGGGATCCTGAATCTAGCTCCATCTCAATTGGAAGTCCATTTACCATGAATGTTACCGTGATTGGTTTCACAGTTGACTTTGCTTGCAATGCATGCAAGTAGTACTCGGACGGTCCACCAACTGATTCCAGCACGTTCACTTGTTTTGTGGACTGCTTCTTTGGCCTATCAGTCTTTGACAAACAGCAACTTGCCAGGTGTCCAACTTTTTCGCAGTTGTAGCACTTTGTGTTGATGTGGGGACACTCCGGGGGCTTGTGATCCCGGGAATCACAACGAATGCAGGCACTTGCTTTATCTTGTGATCCTGGCTTCTTTTTTGCTGTGGCCTTTGGATCCTTTCATTTTTGACCTTTAGGTCCCTGCTGACCATTTTTCTTTTTGTGGAACTTGAGATGATTAGTGGTACCTTCTTGGTTTTTTGAAGAGGTCGTGTCCACGTGGCCTCTTTGTATCTCGGTCGCGTTGCGTTCCGCTGCTTCCGTCGACCTCGAGATTTCGACAACCTTCTCCAGGGTTAGGTTTTTCTCTACCAACAGTCTTTGCTGCACAGTTTTGTCCCGTATCCCACACACGAGGCGGTCCCTCAGCATGCGGTTGAGAGCTGCTCCGAAGTTGCAGTGTTCTGCCATCTGCCGAAGTTCGGCGACGAACGTAGCGACGCTTTCGTTCTCGAGCTGTACTCGTGTGTTGAAGCGAAAACTCTCGGCGATTTCGGACGGTGGAGGGCTGAGGTGACTGTTCAAGGTAGTCATGAGGTCCTTGTACTTCTTTTCTTTTGTCCTCGCAGGAGCTAGCAGACACCGGAGTGTCGCGTAAGTGCTGGTCCCGACGGTTGATAGGAAGATCCATTTCTTCTTCTCGTCGTCTTCGATGCCGTTTGCATTGAAGAACGCGTCAACTCTTTCCGTGTAGGATAACCAGGGCTCCTTATTGTCGTATTCTTCTAGCTTGCCAAAAGTCGTCATTTCTATAGTTTCGGAATTCACGCGCGGAAGTTCACGCAGTGTAGAATTCCTACCGGGTCATCCCGTGGTGCTGCTGCTTGGCGGCTTCTCCGGCTTGTCGTCGATCCGTTTCTCGTCGCCAGTTGTTATGTACTTCGGATACTTCGGGTTCCGTATAACAATAACACTTTATTAACACAAGCGGCCGGAATGGCAGCAGCCTTCCTGGGCGCGGTTCCCGAGTCGGCTCATTGCAGTGCGGGTCGGTCGCGCCATCTAGTGAGGGCGTACACATCAGTATCTTAAAATTCCAATTCGTTATCATGTAGATTGCGCTTAGTGTCATCGGTCACAACTATTGCATATGGTGAGCATTAGTTTTATAATTTTCATTGGTCGTTTGCACTGTGGAACGTGCCATAGTTCCTACGCGCCTGGTCAGTTTTCTCGGCCACTAGTGTTACATGTCATAATTAGCTAAATATTAAATTTCAATTTGAAGTATATATGTATTCATCTACCTTAGGTATCTTTTTAACACCTACTCAGGCATTAATTTCTGCGTTTAAATGCTTTTCTAGGCTTATTTACTTAGTTTTGCTTCGTTCATAATTAGTTGTTTTTTTCCGGACCTCGAGAATGCTCGCACAATGACTTGTGTTTCATAAATGTACTTGTAGCACCGCTTCATTGAGCGAACTGCTATTCGGTGTAATGAGGAGGCTGCTATATCTCACATCGTTTCGATTCGAGAAGGGGTACCCTATAGATGAATGTTGCGCCTGATGAAGGACGTTAAAGAGTTTACCGTGCTACATCCTGCTAGTCCTCGGAGCTCCGAAATATTTAGAATTGTTCGCGGTCTGATCAAGCAGGTAGCTAGCCCTGTTGACTGCGCTTCTCCCCACGCATTGATGCACTGCGGAGACAACGCGATTCCACACCGACGCGCCGCGGTGTAGACAACGCGACTCTGCGTATCCCGTGCTTTCAACACGTGCTGTTCATCGACGCGTTAAAATTCGGAGGTTTTTATTACGGCACACCGCTGGCCGCAAACGCGAACTAGAGTATTCGCCCACGTAATGATCCTTACCGAGTGCAGCCCGAGTGAGGCAGTTTGCGTGCTCAAAGGAACTGCGTGAATTCCGCGGGTTTTTCCCTGACTGCACATATTTCACCGCAAAGTTAAGGAGGAAAAAGAGCCCCTTGTCAGCAGCGACATCAGCCCTGTAGAAGAGACTCAGCCACGGCCGGACTGGAAGCGCGCGCTCTCTTTTAGACAGCGCGCGCTGTCCGGCCGTGACTCAGCCTACCCGGCTAGGGCCCATTGTCCAATGCGTTAAAGGGATATTGAACCAAGGAATTTAGTGTCCATAATAAGTGGCGCACGTTCCTTCCACGAGCCAGCAGCCGCTGGTGTGCGCGAGCACACGCAATGAAAATGACGTCAAAGACCTCCATTCGTGGCTAAAATGACAGTGAAATGTATGGGCTTCGGGCCAAAGGAGAATAAAGACAAGTTTTTCATCTACACAGTGGTGTCTGGCGTAAAAGGTAAGCGACTAATTGGTCTAACAAGCACGTAGCTTTCACTTGTAGAGATGAAAAGCTTGTCTTTATTCTCCTTTGGCCTGAAGACCATGCATTTCACTGTTAAGTAGTCGCACTGAGCATCAGGAGGAGTTTCGCTTTTGTGGGCGTCAGTCCCGAAAAAGCTTGACAGCGACCTTTATCTCCAAAGTCCTTTAACGCATGAAATGCAGTATTAAACAGCGATGGTTTAAATTTGTTTAGAAGACATTAAGCAATCGTTTCGGGGAAGGAAGAACCTATGGCTTTTATAATTTTCGCGTTAAATCGTAGCCTCCTCTCTACTCACAAAGCCTGGCAGTTCGATGACGGAGCCATAGAGTGCCCGGTCGCAGATTTGGAGCGCGAGGATCTGGTAGCACAGAGCATATCTCGGGGAGTCCGGAATTCAGCGCACAGCTTTTGCAGCGGCGAGGACCCGAAGCATGGTTTAAAAACCCGACGAGAAAAGAAGCGGTAGCCCGAGGAACGCGAGAAGCACGAGCGGACATTCCATCGCTCGGGACAAGTGTGTTTCGGTTTTCGCAGCGGGGCGCCCGTTACCTGACCATTGTCTGCCGCTCTACCTTTTCACTTTCGGCGGCCGCGTCACGTGACGATCTGCCAGGCTTTGTCAGTATAGAGGAGGCTATGGTTGAATTTAACAGGGAAACTAACTTGGTACAAAGATCACGCGACGTAAATATTTTTTTTTTTTGTGTGCAAAACTTAGCGGAACTAAGTTTGCGTATATGTCACGTGACGTCAGGTCACACGACATCAATTTTCCACTAAATTTTGTGGGGAAACTGATATGGTGTATAGGTCATGTGATGTAAATTTTGCCGCTAATTTAAGTGGGGAACTGAATTGGTGTTTAGGCCACGTCTGCTTAATTTTCGCAGCGCCGTCCACACACCCGCTACCGAGTCGGACCGAGAGAGACAAGACCGGTTTTTAGCCTCTTGCGTCGGCATAGGACCAGATGCGATGCTGCGGATCAGGTACCACGCCGTCGCAAGAGGCTTAAAACCCGGTCTTGTCTCTCGCGGTCCTACTCGGTTGCAAGTGTGTGAACGGCGCTTTATACCCTGTGTCAGCATAACTTGACAGACGTCAAAGGCTCCTGCCCCAGCAAGCCAATTGAGGTGTCGGACCTGAGCGTGACAGCGCACCGCTAGCGCACGTCAGCGGTGCGGTGTCCCCTGCTTTGCACCGTCGCTCTACTTAGCTGACTTGGTGAAGGGTGTTGACCCTTTGCCAAGTTGGACTGAAATGGAGTATAAGACCATTCTGATGATCCCTCTGTGCGCTGCCATCTTGGGCTGTGGAACGCGTTCTGAGCATGCGCAGCAAAACTGTCGCTTCTGCCCACGGAACAGTTCTCTGTGACTCGTTAATGTTCGCCGTGACAAGCGCTAGAATGGTGTGTGTACACTAAATATACACCCGTCTATCAAGGCTACAATGTGGGCAACGGTATGCACGGTGTTGCGGACAGTCTTACGATCTTGGCGCTTCTCTTTTTGAGGTATCCTTCCATCTTGGGTGGCCCAGAATGCGACTTCCGAAACTGCACCCTGGCCCTGAAGCTCCTCGAGTCTTCTCGGGGACGCAGTTGGACATCCGCCGGCTCCGCACACATCTTGGCGAGCTCTGGGAGAAGACATTGAGCATGCCTGCTACAGCGCATATATCATTGCCAGTACATTACATCAGCCGTCTTTCTTTCTTTATTGTCTATATGACATTATAAAATAAAATGAGACATTGGAGAGCTCTGAAGTTCGGCAGAGTCGTGCTAGAAGTGTTCTGTAGTCTTTTGGAGATACAGACACGGGCGTAACCGGGGGGGGGGGGGGGCAGATTTGCCCCTCCCCTTTCCTCCCCCCCCTCCTCAAAAACAAGTTGGTACGCCACTGGATACCGACATTGTTCTAGCAGGCATGGTTGAATGTCTAGCGAGCGGGAAACGATATGTTTCTTACATTACTTTATGCTTTTGAATTATAACGAATTGTGAATGATTGTCTCTCGATAAGATTGCACGCCATTTTTTGTTATTGCCTTCTGAGGATGGATGATGGATGAATCCGGCTGAGCCTTTTGGCTGAGCCCTTTCAAGCCACGCCCGCGAGCTGCCACCTTGAGGCGTGGTTTGAAACGCACACCCAGAGTCTGGTCGGTCCTACGAAAATAATTTGCTAAAACGTTTTATTGACTGCCGCTTTAGAGGTACCGGCAACTTCTTTGCATTGTATATTGTCCACTGACCCCGAAGCACAAAGCCGCTACAGACAGCAAGCACCGCGCAAAATATAGTGAAGCGTATTTTAAAGTACCATATTGCGTTTTGTTGACTCCGCGACACAGCACAGCAAAAACTGACCTCGGTTTATACCTTTTCCCTAACTTGACGCCTATTTTGTTTTGCTTTCTCCCTAACTTGATGAACACCAAGTTTCGATGCCAGTTTAGTCTCCAGGATAAGCATATTCAACCACATTATTAGGTTTGCTGACAGTCTTCTAGCTGCAAAAAAAGAAAGAAAAAAACAGAAATAAAACGAATTGACTTATTTCCAAGAGGCGTTTTAAATGTGTATCATATAAAAGGCCTTTGCTCACGTCTGCCCGAAACCACAGTCCGTCGAACACATCTGACCGAGCGGATTGTCCATGTACTGGTGATTAAACTACCGAAAACTTGTTTTTACGTAAAAAAAGTTTTAATTTGCAATCCGAATGACCTCTCGCGGTGCCTCATTGTCCATTAGAATGCGCGTCCTGTGCGCCAGTTTGCTACGTTTCAAAGTAAAAAAGGTTGCTAATTGCGCGTTTGCGAACGCCGTTGGTCGCTTTTGTAGAACCAGCTCCTTGTGAATTTAATCAGAAACAGCTGCCATTGTTTTTCGTATGTCTTCACCAGAACCACGATTCTCATACAATTCATTGTTTCGAGTTATTTTTTCTGAAGAATCTCCATGCGTGCTTTAGTATGAATTCCCTGGCCACGCCGTCTAGTATACATAAGGCTTGTATTAACTTTCCAATTTCAAAAAAACTTTTTTTTCTTTGTAGTTATAGGCAAGCAAGCAATTCTTCCCCTATGTTGGAACAATATAATGGTTTCGTATAACGTTAGTAAAATATGACACGGTGAAATTAGTAAAATAAGAAAGGGTGTATTTAAGCGTGCATTGTTGTTCAGCTAAAACATTTACACGTGAATCTGAGTAGGTTGGTCTCTCCACGTATAAGAGCTCAGACGGCCACAACTGGAGCGTACATGATGACTGCAATGTCCAAATGAGTATCGTTGTGGCATGTGATTGAAAGATCTTTAAGGTATGTTTCCTGACATTGTGGCCTGCAGCGGACTTGCGAAAAGGACAGTGAATCTTTGTTCCGTCTTGCCTTCTTTGATCACCACGCATGCAATGATCATGAAACGGTCACATTTTGGGTATGGGCACGCAGTGTGTGGCGCCATCAAGCAATAATGGTATAGTTGTTATATTTTCGCTCTCTCTCCTGGCTATATGCGGACTTCGAATTTTCGCAATAGTAGCATTTTCTGGTTACAGTTTTTCGGAAAACTCCTCGACTGTTACGTGTGCGCGCGAACCAACGACATCGTTGTCCGATTCTTTGATGCAGGCTAAAGAATGGGCGTGGAAGGAAAGGGAAAGCTCAAAGGCGTCTGGAAATATATGTGCAAGCATCAGCTGACGTAGTAATAATGATATAAGTAATCGGATGGACAAAGAAAGAATGTCAGACAGTTCTCCAACACAATTACAGAATTTGATGTTTTGAAACTCTCATCAATTAGGCAGTTTCCTTGTTCTGAAGGAACTGGAATGCGATGCAAGACCAAGTCTTGCATCACATCGGATAAGGTACCTGATACTGTTCACCGCTTTTTGTATACAATTAGCGGTAACAAACACGAATACCGAAGTATGTTCGGCGAGAACATGGCGCCTTCCAGTTCGTTCTGCTTCTGTGAGTGCACTGTCACGCCTGCTGGTGCCGTAACGATGTCGATACTTGCCAACTAACGACATCGTTACGGCATGTGACTTTTATTCAGTAACGTAACGTTACGTCAAACAACAATTAAGAGAACTTACCTTCTTTTAGAGGCAACCGCGAACATTCGATGATGCAGCAGGTGACTCTTGTGCAGTCATGGTCGTTTCATCCTTTCGTTCGCGCCACCCATGGTACCAGGAGCCTACGCAGAAGTGCAAGTCATTCTGCCACTATGATGCTGTACGAAAATGGTTCGTTGGCGCCTGGATGCGTGTTGCCTGTCGATTGCTACCACTCTGTGGCCGAGTGAAGATCTTTTTCGAGCGGATGTAGATTACTCTTTGATGTTATTTGTTTCGACAACGTCCCAGCGCGGAGGAAGCCGGAAGTCGTGCTGTTCCCGCATCCGCCGTCGACTTCCGCTTGTCCTCCTCTCAGTGCGTCCAGCGAATAGAACGGAGTCATCCTTTCGGTCACATCATAAAAATAAAACACACAGAAAAAAATTGAAAACAGCTTTTTCTAACAAAAGCCTTCCTCGCTTCTTTGTTGGTGTGTTTGTGTGTGCGCGTTTGTGATTGGGTTACGTCTTTGTTTGTCCCACGGGCTAGATCAAAGTGCCGCAAAAGTTTCATATTTGTGTTTCGTTCTTTGGTTGTTTGTGTGTGCCATGTTCGGGTACCGTGGTTGCAGACGACAAAAATGAATCGAAGCAGACGACGCCCGCACGCGATGCTGTGCAGTCTGCTTTTTTTTTGTTTGGTGTTTCGTACCTCTCTATTAATTGCAATTTCGCTTTCAGAGCACCGCGTACCGAGCGAATAGAAATCTGCATTGATTATTGCGTATTCAAAACAATACTTAAAAAACAAACAAGTATTCATCTCAAGTAAAATATAAAGTGATTCCCTCTCACACGAGAAAAGCAATAATCAAAATCGTAGTGCAATCAGCTCATCTGGGGAACAACTTGAGTGGTCTTGTTCGTTTAATCTCGTCAGTTTGTTGTACCCCGCGGAATATGTGAGCTGAAGCACCCAATCCGGCTTTTTTCTTCGTCTGCGGTCTCCACTAGCTCTATTATTTCTCAATTTCCCAAATAGTCGAAAGAATTTGACATAAACTTCGTATTCAATCCCTGGTCCGAACCACAAACCTTTCAAGATACTGACATGTATGCCAAAGAAACATTAAAGACTGCTGCAGCTTATATTGTCCGCCATAGTACATATGAATACATCGGTAAGGTGGACCTCTTTCTCGAAGCGCCAAATATAGCCCCTGTAGTTCAGAAGTTTAGCCATTAGCCAATGAGTGCTAACCCTGACTTTTTAAGGCGCATTGTGAGGCTGATGACATTAACGCATGCCAGTACGATATGATAATCAAGCTCGAAACTGGCCAGAGAGCGAAAACTTTGCAGGACATGTTTTCGCTCAACGTGCTCGGAGTTGCGTTGCGCTTGCACACATACTCCACCGATGTCCTTCCCTACTTATTCGCTACTTCGCTACTCTGCGAGAAAGCGCCAATGCCGTATTTGCATTTTGTCGTGCAGTGCCTTCGGGTGCGGGTACAGTAAGGTACACTCAACGAGCAGTTATCATATCTATGAGTAATACTAAATTTATTGCTGTCTTTTTTTTTTTTTTTTTGCTGTTTGCTGTTTTTTTTTTTTTTTAATTCACGATCGCTGGTTCGTTTTGGTGGAATGTTTAGCCGAGATTTTGGTCAAAAGATACAATAATCGCGTCGTGATGTGTTATAGATACTTTCTATCAAATTTAACTTAAATTTGTTCGTTTTCAGTCAGAAAAAAAAAGAATCGTAGTTCCCGATTAAAAAATTGCCCCACAAGAGCAAAACAAAATTGTAAATACATTTTTTTTTTTAAAGTATAGCTTTGCACTGCACCGGACAGAGGGGTCGAGGTTTAATCAAATATTTATTTCAGAAAAAAGGTAAAAGTTCGCTAGATGCCAACAAAAAGATCCGGAGATTCTTGGAGCAGTCAATGATGAGTAGATCGGGTCTGCGCATTCCGACATCGTAGCTTCCCAGACGCCATCTTTCTGTGCGTCTTTTTGCTTACTAGAGGTTGCCTCTCATCTGTTGGTCCATCTCGATGGCTTCGAAGAGGGCCTTGAAGTTTCCAGCACCGAAGCCCTGGGACAAAATAGAAATAAAAGTGACGTATTTAAAGCGACTCCTTGTTTACAAACAAACACGTTTGCCTCCAAAAGCTCTGAACCCCCCTCCCCTCCCCCCTCCCTCTCCCCTCCCCCCCCCCCCCCCCCCCCGCGTGAGCGAAACATCCACGCGCGCCTCTTGCTTGTGACGTCATACACATGGCCTAGTGTATACAAACTAAGCGTTGCAGGCAGTAACAGAATAGAGGCGCCGCTGCTTCGTAACACTGCGAAACGATTTCAATGCAATTTTAGTATAAAATGACAATAAAATTAAACAAAAATGGATGAGTGGAAGACTGCGTTTGAGTATCGTCTGGTGGGGTAAGTAAGGGAAGTCAGCTTCTGCCTTCTTCCCCAAAGAGCAGCCATTCAGCTACATCTACCACCGTACCGTACTGGTACAGCGGTACGGTACAGTAAAGTACGGCGGTAGTAGCGGTACCACCGGAGTCTTTGAAGCTATACTTTTAAGCGCGCGCCCCGCAGTCACGGTATTACCCGGGCGCGCGCTTAAAGGTACGCAACCCCCCCCCCCCCCCCCCCCGCCCCACATTTTTTGTATTTTTTTTTGTCAGGCGAATTAAATCAATGTTTTTCTACAGCGTCACTTGTATTTATATTATATTAAAAAAAAACAAAAAAAAAACGCAACTGCTCGAAATCGAAACGAAAACTGGATTGGGGAGGACAAAGAAATGTAGAGGAGGGGAGAGTTACCGGAAGTCACGTGGCTACACCCGACTGCGTTTTCTTTTTTTTGTTTCTTCTTCGTCGTTTTGGTTGTGCGAAGCAGACAAAAAACGTGCACATCGAAATTCGCACGAAAAACGGAAAAGTCAAGCACTTAGGACGCTATAGAAATTACAGAGAAGATGCAAGCGAACTGGTGAACTTTCAACATTGTAAAACCCAAAACGTAAAACAAAACAAAAAAAAAAAAGAAAAAAAAAACAGAAAAAGGGGACACACTGGTCCCCTTTTTCGACCATCGCGGAAAAAAAGCGACGCGTTTCGAGCAGTCACTAGCTGACCAGACTTTTTGCGATGAGATCTAGTCGTGGAGCGGCTGAGCCAATCAGCGGCGTTCCGAGAAGGGCCTCCGAGAACCGACTCGCTCATCGCGCACGCCAGTGTGACCATCTGATTTTTTTTGTGATGCGATCTAGTCGCATCGCGCGAGTGCTTTACATCGCTGGTGTGAACGCACCTTTAATACTTGACGTTTGCGGGTTTTTCAAGCTTTTTCAAGACGAGCAATGTCTTCAGCTTGGAGAAGGGGCGACGATTCGAGGACATGCGAATCAGCTTGGTGGTCGGGCGTGAGTACGAAATAAATACAAATTGCTTTGATCGGTAAACGATTTTTCTTTCGAAGCTAGACAGATTCGCCGGCATTCCGCGAACAGGTCTGAAGTAGAAGTGCCCCGCGCCCGTCGCCACACACACACAAAAAAAGTATAATATATTTTTAAATTATTATTGAGTGTGTGCCTTCGATGACCCACGACTTCGATTATATTTGGTGTGTGTCTAAACCATCGAGAACGGCACGTGACCACGGAGAAGGGAGTGAGCGCGACTCAAACCGGCCAGTTCTCGACCGGCGGTTTGCGGGCAAAAAGAAAACGAATTTTGAGCTGGAAATTGTGTTCTGGGTAGTGGGGGCTCATATGTCATGTCGAAATAGAATCCTTGGCGAGCTCAAATACCCTGTTACTGCCTCTTTAAAAGCATGCTTGAAAGGCTCCGGTAGTGCAATACGCTGAACACGGTAACGGTTTGCTAAAAGTCCCCCAATAAGGGGACCACACTGAACTGGCACACAATCAGTTAGTTCGCTGTAGCAAATAGTAGCCGCGAATGTCACGAACTGCAACTGGCAACCAATTAGCAAGCCCGTCGCCTACCAGCAGCGAATTAGAGACGACCTTTCCAACATGGCGTTTTGAGAACACGTCGTTCGCACTGTGTGTTGTAAAGAACTGAAAGCGCCAGGAAGACAGGGACATGTGAAAAAAAGACACCGCAGTACGCTACTAACAACTGACGGTTATTGAATAAAGCATACACCATTTAATCCTGCATTTCAAAATGCCGTCAGAATTGTCTTTGTCCTCTTCGATAAACAAAAGTTGCGTACGACATTGTGGTGCTGAGTTCTTCACTTGTCCTCGTCTTCGCACTTCAAGTTGTTTGAAGCTGTACCGGCTAGCCAATTTTTCCGTATTGGTGCTGTACTTAATACAGCAGCAGCCGTGCAGAAAGATCCGTAAAATAGTGTGGCTCGTATCTATGTGCGCGTAAACAGTCTCCGGTTCTGGAAGAGAAATGCTAGTGCTCGCTCCCACTGACCGAGTGGTTGTGCCTTTGGATGACCTCCAGGAAGACGGTGGGCCTGTCCTGCATGTTCTTGGTGAAGATCTGCAGCAGGTAGCCATTGTCGTCGTAGTCGATCAGGATCTTCAACTTTTGCAGCTGTTGGAATGCGGACAGATAGAACAGATGAACGGGACGTGACGTAAGTTATGTAGAGTTGTCTTCAAACATATCTAGAGCGCGGATCGCCTGTTTGTTGGTCTGGTTCGGGGAAGGTAATTAGTGAGTCCTTTTCAAAGTTAAGTGCCATCTGGCGGCTCAAAAAGCAGTTTTACTTTCGACAAACTTTTTACTTTAGACAAACTAATGTATTTCATCGGGCACCGTCACTTTCGCAAGTCCATGGCAGACAAGAACTGGAGTTTTGGTCACCTGAATTGTTTCTTCACTTTTTTTAGTTCGCATGATGTGACCTGAAGCACTGACCATACAAAGTGCGATTAAAGTTCCGCCATAAAAATGTTTTGGAGTTCAACTTGTGACAAGAGGTTGATTGAGCCATACTTCGAAATAAACGCTTACGCAGGCGTTGCCTTTACTCTGCTTCATATGTCATGTTGTTCTGAAGTCTCGAACGTACAGGCCCCTATGTCTTCCGCTTGGAAGATCTTCAGCTTCCTCGTTTATCATCCTCAAGGCTGCCATTAGTTTGGCACGAATGCGATACACTGAGTTCGCTCTGTGGAACCGAGGGATCCTGGGTTCAATCCCCACCCCTCCCCGTTTCAATCTGGATGAGCTTTGTACCGGAGTGCGGTCG